GTGTTTTACAGTAACATCTGATCTACATAACAAGCACCTATTTTCCTGAAAATCCTAACAATATTATCATACTTTCATTGACTCTTTTTTTTCTATGTCCTAGTGTACTTCACAATGTCTTTCTAGTTACCTATTGAAACACAATGTTATTCTAGACCCAAGATTCATATCAAGGGCTTTTTATTCACTACATGCTCTTCCAGTCATGTTCTTCCACTATCAATGAAGGTTTGGTATGTTAGGTACTTAGATAAGGTACTACAACCAATTTTGTACTTACCTTGCTCAAGTAATGTTTAAGTTACCAACCCCTAATATATTTTTGCAGGGTAGTGAGGTATTTTCTTGCTACACATTTTATGATTTTATTAATGGTGAAGCCTCTATGGTGTTGTGAAAATGACAAAAAACATACTTTGTGTTAATTTGTTTTTTCCTCAGGTACTTTTCTCTCCCCCCATGATGCAAGATATACTTGAAATGTGCTGAATGTAGTATTTTATATTAGTTCTTAAAATAATTCATGTATGTAATAATGTTGGGAGATTCTTCCCATTTATGAAGGACTTTAACACTTTAACACTCTTTGTCCATATTTCATCAACCCAGATTTTCACATATACCAGCCACTGACTAGTACCCTTACTTGAAAATCTTCCTCTTCACCCACTGGCAGGTTTTCTGGCCTAGTCTTTCCACCAATAAACTACATACCCTAAAACCTGGTCAGTCCAATTCAGCATAGATACCGGGAAACTGCTCTTGCCCGATTATGTATTGGCTACACTCGCCTCACACATTCCTATCTCATGTCACGTTCTGATCCACATCTATGCTGATCATGCAATCTTCCTCTGTCAATCCCACACATTCTAGTATCCTATCCCTGCTTTAGTGCTTTTCCTCTCTTGTCCTCATTCCCCTGACCCCTCAACCTGTTAGACATTCTTTTGGAATCCCCTACCTTTTCCTCTAACAACTTGTCCTCTTTCCTCAGACATATAAATATGCTCTGTTTGATCTAATCATCATTCTTCTCCCTTAACTCCTTCCCCCTTTTAAGAACCCTTACCTTATACTATACCCCATTAGTTTATACTATACCCCATTAGTTCCCCCTTTCTACCCTTTTCACTACCATGCTACCTATAGTACTGTTCAACCTCTAACTTCTTACACAATTTACCCTAATCATTTCTTCCCTTTCCACCACAGTGCTATATGACCTTAGATGTCAAGCACTTATATTTGTTTTAACTATTAACTATGAACCTTTGAGACTTCACTCATCAAAAATATTGTAACAGAACAATAATGGTTTTAGTTATTCTGTCTATTATTGCTCTTTAACACTGGTTCTCCAAATTAATAATTAATATTAGGGGAAGTGTGACCCCGATCTTGCCATAGAGAATATTATTCTTAATAGTAGCACAAGTATTTTCAGACTAAACAGTATTAATAGCAAAAAGAATACTTTTCTACAGGATGGAACAAGTAAAATACAATTTAGAATATTATGGGACAGGAGTATATTTTATTTTTATTAATATGCTGCCAATAAAAGATGTAGATTTTAAAGTATGTAATTCATTTGATGTAACTTTCTATTTCTTTAACATGTGTGATTCATTGAGTATATTCAATCATTTTATTTTCTTATGAGAAAGTATAGTATTTATTTTAGGAAGGTTGATATCTTTTTGGTTATGATAAAATTGACTTTCGTTATAATTTCAGACTTGTATTTTGAGTACTGTATAATTAGATAGCCATACACTGAAGTAAATGATGAGGTAGTATCATTGCTTTTTTTTATCCTCATTTCAGTATGAATCCTATAGCCCATTAATGATTAACCCATAATGATTTGTGTAATATTTATGTCCTGGAAGGAAGATGGGGTGGAGGGGTTCCCTTGCTACTTTGTGCCTGACATCTAAGGGTTTAATATATATATATGAGAGAGAGAGAGAGAGAAAGAGGCAATATAATAAAGAGAGAGAGAGAGAGAGAGAGAGAGAGAGAGAGGAGAGAGAGAGAGAGAGGAGAGAGAGAGAGAGAGAGAGAGAGAGAGAGAGAGAGAGAGAGGCAATATAATAAAAGAGACAGAGAGAAATGTAAAGAGATACAGAGACACATTGTGTAATGTGTGTGTGTGAGTGTGAGAGGAGAGAGAGAGAGAGAGAGAGAGAGAGAGAGAGAGAGAGAGAGGAGAGAGAGAGACAGAGACAGAGACAGAGACAGAGAAGAAGACAGAGACAGAGACAGAGACAGAGAGAAGAAAGAGAGAGAGAGAGAGAGAGGAGAGAGAAGAGAGAGAGAGAGAGAAGAAGAGAGAGAGAGAGAGAGAGAGGAGAGAGAGAGAGAGATGAGAGAAGAGGCAAAATAATAAAAGAGAAGAAAGAGAGAGAGAGAAGAGGCAATATAATAAAGAGAGAGAGACCAGAGAACAGAGAGAAATTTATAGAGATACAGAGACACACAGGAGAGAGAGAGA